AGATTGTCCAGCATTCACTGCCATATAGGAGGACTGATATTACGTAACAGTTCGGTACTCTTTTCTTTGTTTCTGTTGCTTCAAGTCTCTTCTTTATCTGTGAGGAGATTCTCCAGCATTCACTGCCATATAAGAGGAGTGATATTACGTAAGAGTTCAGTACTCTTTTCTTTGTTTCTCTAGCTTCAAGTCTCTTCTTCATCTGTGAGTAGATTGTCCAGCATTCACTGCCATATAGGAGGACTAATATTGCGTAAGAGTTCAGTACTCATTTCTTTGTTTCTCGAGCTTCAAGTCTCTTCTTCATCTGTGAGGAGATTGTCCAGCATTCACTGCCATATAGGAGGACTGATATTACGTAACAGTTCGGTACTCTTTTCTTTGTTTCTCTAGCTTCAAGTCTCTTCTTCATCTGTGAGGAGATTCTCCAGCATTCACTGCCATATAGGAGGACTGATATTACGTAACAATTCATTACTCTTTTCTTTGTTTCTGTTGCTTCAAGTCTCTTCTTTATCTGTGAGGAGATTCTCTAGCATTCTCTGCCCTAGAGGAGGACTGATATTACGTAACAGTTCAGTACTCTTTTCTTTGTTTCTCTTGCTTCAAGTCTCTTCTTCATCTATGCGGAGATTGTCCAGCATTCACTGCCATATAGGAGGACTGATATTACGTAAGAGTTCAATACTCTTTTCTTTGTTTCTCTTGCTTCAAATCTCTTCTTCATCTGTGATGAGATTCTCCAGCATTCATTGCCATATAGAAGGACTGATATTACGTAACAGTTCATTACTCTTTTCTTTGTTTCTGTTGCTTTAAGTCACTTCTTTATCTGTGAGGAGATTGTCCAGCATTCTCTGCCCTAGAGGAGGACTGATATTACGTAACAGTTCAGTACTCTTTTCTTTGTTTCTGTTGCTTCAAGTCTCTTCTTCATCTATGAGGAGATTGTCCAGCATTCACTGCCATATAGGAGGACTGATATTACGTAACAGTTCGGTACTCTTTTCTTTGTTTCTCTTGCTTCAAATCTCTTCTTCATCTGTGAGTAGATTCTCCAGCATTCACTGCCATATAGAAGGACTGATATTCCGTAACAGTTCATTACTCTTTTCTTTGTTTCTGTTGCTTCAAGTCACTTCTTTATCTGTGAGGAGATTGTCCAGCATTCTCTGCCCTAGAGGAGGACTGATATTACGTAACAGTTCAGTACTCCTTTCTTTGTTTCTCTTTCTTCAAGTCTCTTCTTCAGCTGTGAGGAGATTGTCCAGCATTCACTGCCATATAGGAGGACTGATGTTACGTAACAGTTCGGTACTCTTTTCTTTGTTTCTCTTGCTTCAAATCTCTTCTTCATCTGTGAGGAGATTCTCCAGCATTCACTGCCATATAGAAGGACTGATATTACGTAACAGTCCATTACACTTTTCTTTGTTTCTATTGCTTCAAGTCACTTCTTTATCTGTGAGGAGATTGTCCAGCATTCTCTGCCCTAGAGGAGGACTGATATAACGTAACAGTTCGGTACTCTTTTCTTTGTTTCTCTTGCTTCAAGTCTCTTCTTCATCTATGAGAAGATTGTCCAGCACTCACTGCCATATAGGAGGACTGATATTACGTAACAGTTCGGTACTCTTTTCTTTGTTTCTCTAGCTTCAAGTCTCTTCTTCATCTGTGAGGAGATTGTCCAGAATTCACTGCCATATACGAGAACTGATATTACGTAAGAGTTCAGTACTCTTTTCTTTGTTTCTCTTGCTTCAAGTCACTTCTTTATCTGTGAGGAGATTGTCCAGCATTCACTGCCCTAGAGGAGGACTGATATTACGTAACAGTTCAGTACTCTTTTCTTTGTTTCTCTTGCTTCAAGTCTCTTCTTCATCTATGAGGAGATTGTCCAGCATTCACTGCCATATAGGAGGACTAATATTACGTAAGAGTTCAGTACTCTTTTCTTTGTTTCTCTAGCTTCAAGTCTCTTCTTCATCTATGAGGAGATTGTCCAGCATTAACTGCCATATAGGAGGACTGATATTACGTAACAGTTCGGTACTCTTATCTTTGTTTCTCTAGCTTCAAGTCTCTTCTTCATCTGTGAGGAGATTGTCCAGCATTCACTGCCATATAGGAGGACTAATATTACGTAAGAGTTCAGTACTCTTTTCTTTGTTTCTCTTGCTTCAAGTCTCTTCTTCATCTATGAGGAGATTGTCCAGCATTCACTGCCATATAGAAGGACTGATATTACGTAACAGTTCGGTACTCTTATCTTTGTTTCTCTAGCTTCAAGTCTCTTCTTCATCTGTGAGGAGATTGTCCAGCATTCACTGCCATATAGGAGGACTAATATTACGTAAGAGTTCAGTACTCTTTTCTTTGTTTCTCTAGCTTCAAGTCTCTTCTTCATCTGTGAGGAGATTGTCCAGCAGTCACTGCCATATAGGAGGACTGATATTACGTAACAGTTCGGTACTCTTTTCTTTGTTTCTGTGGCTTCAAGTCTCTTCTGTATCTGTGAGGAGATTCTCTAGCATTCTCTGCCCTAGAGGAGGACTGATATTACGTAACAGTTCAGTACTCTTTTCTTTGTTTCTCTTGCTTCAAGTCTCTTCTTCATCTATGCGGAGATTGTCCAGCATTCACTGCCATATAGGAGGACTGATATTACGTAACATTTCGATACTCTTTTCTTTGTTTCTCTAGCTTCAAGTCTCTTCTTCATCTGTGAGGAGATTGTCCAGCATTCACTGCCATATAGGAGGACTGATATTACGTAAGAGTTCAGTACTCTTTTCTTTGTTTCTCTTGCTTCAAATCTCTTCTTATTCTGTGAGGAGATTCTCCAGCATTCATTTCCATATAGTAGGACTGATATTACGTAACAGTTCATTACTCTTTTCTTTGTTTCTGTTGCTTCATGTCTCTTCTTTATCTGTGAGGAGATTGTCCAGCATTCCCTGCCATATAGGAGGGCTGATATTACGTAACAGTTCAGTACTCTTTTCTTTGTTTCTCTGGCTTCAAGTCTCTTCTTCATCTGTGAGGAGATTGTCCAGCATTCACTGCCATATAGGAGGACTGATATTACGTAACAGTTCAGTACTCTTTTCTTTGTTTCTCTAGCTTCAAATCTCTTCTTCATCTGTGAGGAGATTGTCCAGCATTCACTGCCATATTACGTAAGAGTTCATTACTCTTTTCTTTGTTTCTGTTGCTTCAAGTCACTTCTTTATCTGTGAGGAGATTCTCTAGCATTCTCTGCCCTAGAGGAGGACTGATATTACGTAACAGTTCGGTACTCTTTTCTTTGTTTCTCTAGCTTCAAGTCTCTTCTTCATCTGTGAGGAGATTATCCAGCATTCACTGCCATATAAGAGGACTGATATTACGTAACAGTTCAGTACTCTTTTCTTTGTTTCTGTTGCTTCAAGTCTCTTCTTCATGAGTGAGTAGAAGTCCAGCATTGACTGCCATATAGGAGGACAGATATTACGTAACAGTTCAGTACTCTTTTCTTTATTTCTATTGCTTCAAGTCTCTTCTTCATCTGTGAGGAGATTGTCCAGCATTCCCTGCCATATAGGAGGACATATTAGTATTAGTACTATCAGTTGATATTCTCTTTCTGTTCCTGTTATTCAAATGTCTTTTTCATCTCTGAATATATTTTCCAGATATCACGTAACTGTTTAGGACTGTTTTACTTGTTTCTAACAAAGTTCTCCTGTCTCTTAATACTCTGCTTAGCTTTTGGAAGGCATGTGTGAGTATCTCAATGCGCCTTCGTATTTCAGTGTCACCCTTTTTGTCCTCGCTTAATAAACTTCAGACATATTTACATTTTTGTACTTTTTGCATCTCCGATTTTAAATTTGCATCTTAGTTCCATCCTCTTTCTAACAACCACGCATTATGTCTGCTTGCAGTTAATGTTTAGTCCTTTCTTCTCGCTTTCCTTCACTACTTTTTACGTACACGTTTTTGTAGTTTCCTTTTTATGTCTGCTATCAACACTGTGTCATCTGCATATTTTATGCTGTTACGATTGTGGCCGTCAATAATGAATCCTGTTAGGTCTTATTATACTTTCAGAATCGCTTCGCTGTATAGGTTGAATAAGTCCGGTGAGAAGGTACTTCTTGTCTTATGCCCCTTTATATTTTCGCATATATACTGAACTAATTTTCTATACGTTGTTGAGCAGTTACAGCAATTCTTTGTAGCGTATTTTATCGAACGATTTTGCCTAACTTATAAAACCCAGGTACACGTTCTTCTGTATTTACATTGCTCTTTCTAAGAAAATTCTGAGCCTAGATATTGCATTCCTTGTTACAGTGTCTTTAGCGAACCCGCACTGTTCTTGTCCTATATCTGCTCCGATTCCGCTGCGCACTCTATTCATGAGAATTCAGTTGTTTTGTTATTTAGCTCATTAGGCTGATTGTCTGATGGAGATCACATTCGTTTGCACTAGGCTTCTTAGGCAGTGCTATGTAAATAGGTCTGCTTAGGTCTTCCGGTATTTCACCACTGTTGTAGATTTACTTTAATATGTAGGTAAACTTGTCAGTTCTGGAATATTCTAAGGCTGCAGAGAATTTCTATTACAATGCTGTCTGGACCATCAGAACAACATTTTTACCAAATAAACACTTTTAAACACTTAATATTCCCAACAGCTGCAACAACTAAAATGGCTAGCATACGTAACAAGGAGAGAAAATACAGGGTGCGATGAGTAAATTGTCACCATTTTATATTTTTAATTTCGCGAAGGCGCGTTGTTTGTTTTTGATTTTGCCGATTGCACAATATAGTTGGGTCAGTTGGGCACCGTCTCTGGAAGAAAGAACACCATGACGCAATTCACTCCGCCAGAAATTTGGAAACGGCATGCTTTACTGCTTGCCTTTGGCTCTAATGCGAACATTTAAGCGTGTTTGGTTGTCAATCTGAGGACTGTGCAGAGGATTCGGAAAGAGTTGGAGGAGTCTAATTCACGCATCGCACCCCGAACAGACTGAGATAGATAGATAGATAGATAGATAGATAGATAGATAGATATGAAAAGGCGGACATAAATATGAACAGACTGAGATAGATAGATAGATAGATAGATAGATAGATAGATAGATAGATAGATATTTTTTAGATAACGAACAACCTGAAACAGATAGATAGATAGATAGATAGATAGATAGATAGATAGATATGAATAGACAGAGATAAACATTATCAGAGATTAAGATAGATAGATAGATAGATAGATAGATAGATAGATAGATAGATAGATAGATAGATAGAAAAAAAAACTGAGATACATAGATACATACATACATACATACATACATACAAACGGGGACTGAGATAGATAGATAGATAGATAGATAGATAGATAGATAGATAACGGACAACCTGAAACAGATAGATAGATAGATAGATAGATAGATAGATAGATAGATAGATAGATAGATAGATAGATAGATAGATAGATACAAACTGGGACTGAGATACACAGATATCAAAAGAGACTGAGATAGATAGATAGATAGATAGATAGATAGATAGATAGATAGATAGATAGATAGATAGATAGATAATTGGGATAGACAGTTGATTATAGTCGTGACTATGGATAGACTGGAAACAAAAACAAAAAAACAAAATGAAACCAAAACAAATAATTTCGTTCAAAACTCTGAGAAAACACAAAAGGCGCGAATTTTTGAAGTCAAAACGCGGGAAAAAGAAGACTCTGAAAATAAATGAAGAGATGTAAATACAGCTTGTCTGCAGGAAAACCCAAACAATATTCTTTCGAGACATCTTTCAGAACAAAATCAAGAGAAGAGAAAAATCAATGACACTAACAACAATTACAAGAGAAGCAGACAAAAATAAAATTCATAAAGTTTTCTTTTTCTTTTTCTTAAAGAACAGAAAATAGGAAAACATATTAAAAGATGCTTTCAAATATGGCGGATGCAAATAAATGAAATTCTATATCGACTGTTGGCAGGAGGCGATTCAACGTTTCTCTATATTGTATTTGGATTGGGTTTCTCCAATTTTCCAGACTCCAGCACTCGACGTCATGCCAAGGAGAGGAGAAACACTGCTTTAGGAGTGTAAATATCATCGTTGTGAAGATAAAAAAAATAAATAAATAAATAACAAACCCAACTCAGAGATAGATTAAGATGGCGAGGGTAGTGGGTTTTGGTTAGAGGCACCCGGTGAGGATCTAAATCGACTCGCTTCGTTAACCATTAACCTACGCCGTCACCTGGACACACACACACACACACACACAGAGAAGAGAGAGAGACACACACACACCAACATATATATATATATATATATATATATATATATATATATATATATATATATATATATATATTATACATATATATGTGTGTGTATGTGTGTATATATATGTGTGTGTGTGTGCGTGTGTACACATATATTGTTTTGTTTATCCTTACCACAAGCTATTTAATAATCTGAGACACTTTATCCATTTATCCTTCTATTTGTCTATCAAACTGTTTCAGGTTGTACATCTATCTATCTATCTATCTATCTATCTATCTATTCTAATATATATCGGTTCCACTATCTATCTTTCTATTTCCGGTTGTCCATTCTCTTTCTCTCTCTCTCTCTCTTTCTCTCTCTCTCTCTCTCTCTCTCTCTCTCTCTCTCGATTTATATATATATATATATATATATATATATATATACATTTCATTTTATCTATCTCAATCTGTTTACACAAGCATAGAAACACGCACACACACACACATATGTGTGTGTAAACAGATTGAGATAGATAGATAGATATGAGCCGACTGAGATAGATAGATAGATAGATAGATAGATAGATAGATAGATAGATAGATAGATAGATAGATAGATAGATAATTGACAATCTGAAACGGATAGATAGAATAAATAGAAGGAAAAATGGATAAAGTGTCTCCGTTTATTAAATGGCTTGAGGTAGGGCTGAACAAAACCATATATATATATACACACACATACACACACATTACACACACACATATATACATATATATATGCGTAAATATATATATATATAAATACGCACTATCTCTGATATTACTCATAAATATAGCACACCTTAAGACTATATTTCTTTATATATATATATATATATATGTGTGTGTGTGTGTGTGTGTGTGTGTGTGTGTGTGTGTGTGTGTGTGTGTACACCCTCCTATGTCTACGTCAGTATAAATGTTTGGGGTATGTTGCACCGAATGATAAATCTATCAAGTCTTTTGCAATGTTTATAATTATGGAAATGTCAGTTGTAAAAATGTCGGACACTCGTGACTCAGCCTCTTCAACAAACGTAATTCGCAGTTCCCCCTTTTTTGCAGTTTCGTCTTCCTTTCTTTCGACCAGCCGTTGTTGTTGTTGTTGCTGTTGCTGCTGCTGCTGCTGTTGTTGTTTTCAAAATGGTAGAAAGACGCGAGAAGGGCGTTGCCGACGAACCATATTAAGCATTTGAATCATAAGTTATCAAATCTGGAAAAGCAGAACTGAACGCAAGGAGCAGACCCCCCGCCGCCCCTGGGTTGAGGACGAACTTAATCAGTGTTTTGTGACCCTCGATCTCTAATCAGCATTTGCTTTTTTTTATTTCTATCTTCATTTATATACGTTACTGATTAAAGTAAGTACAACTGACTTTTAAAAGGATGAAAAAATTTTGCCGAAAAATTTTGCCGTCAATCTGTTCTACATCCAGGAATTTGTTTTGCTTTTTCCTAAATTAAAACAAAAACTATATAAAAATCCCTATATTTTATCCATAATGTTGATTGTGTTAAATTAGTCAACTTTTTAAGAAGAAAAAATCTCCAGTTGATATTAAAAATTGCTGCAAAACTTTGTTGTCTAATTTAAGTTGGAATGTTTTATTATGACATTTGTCTGCTTTGTATTAGGTTGGTGCAAAAATAATGACGTAATAATGTCGTTTTTTGACGTTAAAAAAATACGTCAAAAAACGACAGTATTACGTCATTTTTTTGCACCAACCTAATATTTAGATACATTGTATTTATTTTTAAACTTTCCTGTTAAATTAATTACCTATATTTGGACAATTATGGCTGAGTAGTGAGTTCGATTCTCAATGTGCCACATCTAAGCTATGCATGGAAAATCACTGTTCACCTATATTACATAAGATCCATTATTATATATAATTAGTTTACAATCAAAATTTGTTTTTTATATAAATACAACCTTATGAAAATTGTGATATAGTAAAGTGGGAACATTCTATCATAGATTCGGAGGGGTATCATAAAATTGATGGGGGTACGAGGCCCTTGCGCCGTCCTTCTATATAGGGGGCGATTTACCCAGATGTAAGGTTTTCTTTCGCTTTTCCGGAGATTATTAAGTCATGTTCACGGAACTGGTCGAAAGATTTTCTGAATTGATTTTATCAAAAAAAAACAAAAAAATGCTTTATGCATTACGATAAAATCTCAGGTTGATGTTAAAAATTGCCGCGAAATATTTATATTTATTTAAGATGGAATTATTTATTATGGCATGTCTCTAATTTGTATTTAGATACATTGGATTTATTTTTAAATTTTGTAGTTAAATTGTTCACCTATATTACATTTGATCCATTATTGTACATAATAAGAATTATAATCCTCGTATAAGTCGGTAGTTCTGGTTAATAATATTGCAATGAAACCGTTGGAACAAAAGATTAATGAAATGGGTTAATCACATGAGAGATATGGATTACAATAATAACGAATTTTACTGATTTTACTGCCTTTCTGTGTTACTGTCTTCCTGTATATTAGATAAATGAGAAATTTAATAATTTTGAACCAGAATTACTAGGTGCAGGGGGGTGACTCCTCCGCCAGTCCGGGGGTGGGGGTGAATGTCAAACCTTATTGCTCTCCGTCCCCTGGTAGTACTTTGTGACCGTCACTATCTTATCAATATTTGTTTGTTTGTTTTTCGTACCTACACTTATATACGTTATAAATTAAATTAAGCACAAGTGAAGGATGAAAAAAATTCGCAGATTTTGACGTCATTCTTCGGGTCTTTTTCTTTTGTTCAAAAAAACACTATAAAAAATTCTTTTTTTTTTATCCGTAATGTTGAATGTGTTAAGATTCTTCAAACTTTTAACATGAAAAAATCTTAAGTTGATGTTAAGAATTGCCGCAAAACATTGTTGATTTATTTAAGATGGAATCATCTATTATGACATGTCTCTAATTTGTATTTAGATACATTGTATTTATTTTCAATTTTTCTAGTTGAATTGTTCGGCTATATTACATAAGATCCAGTATTGTATATAATTAGGTTACAATTAAAATTTGTATTTTATATAAATGCTACCTTATGGAAATCGAAATGTAGTAGAATGGGAACATTCTATCATAGATTCGGAGGGGTATCATAGAATTGATGGGGGCACGGAGCCCTTGCACCGTCCCTCTATATAGATATACAGGGGGGGAGCCTTTTGCCCAGATGCAAGGCTTCCTTTCGTTTTTTCGGAGATTAAGTCATGTTCAGGGAACTGGTCGAAACATTTTGTGAATTGATTTTATCAAAAAAAAATTTGATGTTTAAAATTGCCGCAAAATATTTATATTTATTCAAGATGGAATGATCTATTATGACATGTCTCTAATTTGTATTTAGATAAATTGTATTTATTTTCAATTTTTTTACTTGAATTGTTCACCTATATTGCATATGGTCCATTATTTTATTTTATATGAATACTACCTTATTAAAATCGACATGTAGTAGAGTTGGGCCCCGTATCATAGATTCAGCGGAGTCCCAAAAACCCTTGTACCGGCTCTGGCAAAGAGATACTCAGATTTAAAACACCAAGCAGGAATGGTTATTGTAAACTTCAAAAAGATTATTCTGAGCGGATGTTAGTTCCGGTTTATAGGTGGGGAGAGAGAACATAACCTGGAGTGATCAGAAGTCGATGAAGACTCGTCCGCTTACGAAAACCTGTGATAGAATGGAATCGTCCTCAACGCCAAAATCGTTCAGAAGCCACGAAACCGTCGATTGCATACAGCCGTTTTCTCTGATCAATGCTTTGAAACGGCTTCGAGAAAATAACGTATGTAGGGCTTGGCGAGGACCGGCCTTCCTCGAACCTCGCGGACTGGCGTTAAACAATCGAAGTTCTGTCGCTGAGGATATGTGTATATCTCTATCTATAAAAGGCAGGATGTGTGTGTGTGTGTGTGTGTGTGTATCTATATCTATAAAAGGCAGGATGTGTGTGTATGTGTATCTCTATCTATAAAAGGCAGGATGTGTGTGTGTGTGTGTGTATATCTCTATAAAAGGCATGATGTGTGTGTGTGTATCTCTATCTATAAAAGGCAGGATGTGTGTGTGTATGTGTGTGTGTGTGTGTGTGCGTATATCTCTATCTATAAAAGGCAGGATGTGTGTGTGTGTGTGTGTGTATATCTCTATAAAAGGCAGGATGTGTGTGTGTGTTTTCTCTATCTATAAAAAAGGATGTGTGTGTGTCGCTATAAAAGGCAGGATGTGTGTGTGTGTATATCTCTATCTATAAAAGGCAGGATGTGTGTGTGAGTGTGTGAATCTCTATCTATAAAAAAAGGATGTGTGTGTGTGTGTGTGTGTGTGTGTGTGTGTGTGTGTGTGTGTGTGTGTGTGTGTGCATCTCTATCTATAAAAGGCAGGATGTGTGTGTGTGTGTGTGTGTGTGTCTGTGTGTGTGTGTGTGTGTGTGTGTGTTTCAATGCACGGTTGCAATCTTCGACGGATTTGCACCAAAATTTACATGCACATGCTCCAAGTTAGCGGGAAGGCCAAGACCGACTTTGCATTTCCCAACTCCCATCGATAGTGGAAATAATCGATTTTTTCATGCTTCTACGGCAGTTTTCATGTAGTTTGCGGCCATTTTCTACTGGCCAGAGTGAGAGCCTATAGCTGGCTACCACGAATAGGCAGGAAGATTCTATTGGCCAGCGTGAGAGCCAACAGCTGACTGACACGAATGTTAACTAGCATGTTAGCATGCAAAAAAAATCGATAGCTTCATTCGTCACAAGTGGGAAAAATTTAAATCTGCATGGCACTTTACTCCAATTGGCTCATTCGCTTGCTTAAACTGAACGTTGATTCTGATACCGCAGAACTGGGTTGGGTGTGAAAAAGTATTTGTTAACATTCTTTTTTCATTCGGTTTTTCAAGTTACGAGTCCTTTTTTAAATCTGATTGTTTTGTGTTCATTTTGTTTAGTTCTTTTTTCGTAACAGATTTAATGTTTAGTATAGAGCTTAGAAAAATTGGCAGTGTGAGATAGGCAAGAAGTAAGGCATGTAGCAACATCAGCACGCCAAAGGGCAAGGAAGGGCAAAAATATTTTAAGTCGAGTGATAGCGATTGCTGTATGAGTCGTACGATTTTTGAATCAAGCACCGGCAACGCCGGGCCATGCTGCTAGTAATGTATATATAGGTTTTGGTTTGTTTTCTTTTCTCCTCCCAAAAAAAGACGCAGACTTGGCCTCATGTAGGAAGATCAGTACAACCAAGCATACCCGATCTATAACATCGAATAGCCCAAGTGAAGTCTTGATTAGTTGCCGTTTTCTGGGGGAACTTATATAAAGCACGTTCTAAAGCTAGTAGCAATTTTTTTCTGGGTGCGGGCTGAATACTGATCATATTCGGTCGAGTCGCCCACCGAAGAAGTCTCTTGTTTATTTAGACCCGAAACTTCTAGTGACAGGGGAGCAATAACACTGACGACGCATCTAGATTCGGCACTTAAAGGTGTATTTTTAATAATAAAGATGTTGACCTTCCACTCTACATCAAACAAAAAGTTAGAAAGGAAACTCCTTGAGGAATTCTTTTTTTCTGAAAAATCGTTTTAATAGAAATATTTTATGATTTCCAACCGAAAGTCGTACACGCTGCTCTGTCAACGAATACGAAATGTGTCCTTGACACCAACCGACTAATATAACCATACACCGGGTGTAACAGCAAAATTGTTCATTCCACAAAATGTTTAATATCTATAATCCCACTAAACTTAGTTTCCGTTTTCCAGGTTTTCAGATAACACGGTTAACCACCTTCATACCATTTGTCGTAAGAATCATTGAAAAAAATACCTTTGAGTTATTTAGCTAGAAAGAGAAAAGGTTAAAATTGTCTGTCTTCCCAACTGAGCAATGGTAAGAGGAAAACGATCACTCCGGTCTTCAGTAATGGTACCAACATTCATACTTCAATCTTCAAAATCCATTCAAGAACCATGAAGAGAATGATGACTAAGTACAAAAAAGATAGAAAAGTAGAGAGGATCAGGAGGTCACAACAGGAAGAGGGATCATTATTTCAACTTAGAGCTAAAGAGATCAATGAGTAAAGATCCAACTCAGTCCATAAGACGTTTGGCATGTGAGAGAGGAGTTTCACCTATGACA